CATCTCGCGGGAAGATCGCAAAAGCGATCCTGCCCCGGTGCGTTTCCGTTCCGTTCGACGCGTAGGCAATTGTTTAACACCTCGTGCAAAAGCCCGGTTCGACGACCCCCTTATCAAAACATCGCCGGATATTTTCGCGTTGCGGCAGTCTAGACTTTTGTTAAACAAACGCGTCGACGCAACGACCCATCGGCCAGGGCCTGTGCCTCGCGTGCCGTTAGTAAAAAGAAACCGTGCGCGCGGCTTTTGTCTCGTTCCAAAGCCAATTTATTGAGCCATCGACTATACTAATATTTTTTACGACCGTGGTATCTTTATCCGTGTCCTATTTGCTTTATCACTACGAGCATAAACTTAATGACAAGGCAGTAAAGTTCGATTCGTCATAAAATGACGTCAATCGGTAATTGTTCTACCACTACCGTAGCTACGTGCTTTCTAATACTTCTTAAGGCTCGAATGCACACTGTTTTAATTGTCATTTATCAGAGGATATCGTTTGTCATTATGCGCAACATTTAAACTAATCTTCGAATGAAATTGTTGGCAAATTTTTCATTCAGTCACCAATTTAACTGTCACGCGGTCGGCGACAAAATAGGTGCATCGGCATTGTTTTCCCATCGATCGTGAGTGGAAGGTAATTAGGCTAGTGGCTGGTTGGAATTACGCTCGGCCAATTAACTAGTTAGGAATAAATTACCGCTTTTACCTGGCGCGAGCGCGAGCCAACGTTACGTAATCGCGCTATTACGGCTTACGGCCGCTAACTGCAGCGGCACCTCTCCCTCTCCCCCCCCCCCGTTAGCGCGCTGCCATAATATCACTGCAACGCGTATAGTTCGTTCTCTGTGGCTCTGCGTCACCACGTCTTAAGGGACTTTGCACCATGTTTATTTCTTTCTGTCCAAAACCTCGATTAAATTTGGACTTTGAAAAACGAATGTCGGATTTCCGATTCCCCCAATGCGAAACGCTTGTAGTTATCATTAAAAGCCGGTTCTCCTTTGTTTTTTTTACAATGCCGTCTATTTTTAAAGTACAAGGATATAAAGATTATTCCCTATGATAAATTCATTTCCATTTTTAATCCCAAGCTTCGACTCAAAGATTTCCTTGTTCCTTTTTTTTTTTTTTATTCTCTCAATTAAAGTTTCCGTAATCTGTTTTTGTACCGAACACGGATAGAGATATGGATCGTTCGATATCCGTAGCACCCGCGAGTTTCAAGAGGTGTCAGTTACGTCATCCTGCGGTTTAAGCGTTCGCTTATCGGCGTGCGACTTTCAATTCAAGCCCAGTCGAGATAAAAATAACCTCGTTGCTATAAGAACCAGCTTTTTATGAGAATTCATGGTCGGCTCGAAGGTTTAGAAGCTACCTCAGTAGCTGACAAGTATGATCGATCAAGTATTAACGCGCGATTGCAGCAGATAAACAAATTTGTTCGAGAACCAGAGAAATTTCTTATTTATCTGAAATACGCGTAAGGTTCTGCTCGGGTAACTATCGCTCTACTATTTAAATCACTCGATCGTTGGGTACATTCGATAACTTAAAAACATTTCTTGAAATCAATACTGTTGATAAAAACAATTTTTCTAGAAGATAAAAAAGCATGGTAGAGAGAATGGAATAATAATGGCGATGGATCGTGATTGATTCAAGGTAGAAGCACGTCGATTGATTATGCTATTCGCCGAGTATATTTAAACCATTATTATGCATACGGTTACATCACGGGTCATCGATTAAAATAGTAAATCCGCGAAGTTCACGCGTTACACGAGTTGTATGTAGAATGATAAAGCTGCTGAAGGCAGCTGCACCGTAACCGCGGTGATAACGCGTTATCGCGGCACCACCACGGTCGGACGAATCGCGACTGCAAATATGTTTGCCTTCTTAAATAAATGCACTCGAGGCTAGGTTGCGAACGTCGGTTGCTGTTATTGTCCGTTTATCCTCATTACTGTCTCTTCTTTGTTTTATTTATGTGTTTGTCAACTTTAATCCCCCAGTTTTGCAAATTTTTCCATCGGGTCTACTCTCGCTCGAGACCCTCCGCGTTACTTTCTGGCGTTCGAGTTCAACGTGTTCCGAATGTACTAGTCTAGTCTTGCTCTGCGTAGGCGCCTAATTGCTTAATAGTTTACTCAATTTTAAAGAAATTTTAGTTTCATGCTAAAGTAAAATTATTGAAGAAAGACGGGAATTTTTTAGTTGTGTCAAGTATCGCTAATGTTTCTTCCCATTAGTCGAACCATTGTAACCGTGATACGTCTGCATAAATTTAGGGACGCGACACGATCCAAGAGTGCTTTCGAGGCTGCTACGAGCTACTACGAGCTACCGATTATGGCTCCACCCACGCGGTACGGGTTCTCACGAGTTTCGACTTTGTAAATCAGTATACGACGCATACGCACGGCGGCGAGTTCGATAGATCCGAAACGAGGACCTTGAAGCATTTATCGACTCCCGATCTGACGTAACTGGGATGAATAACAAGCCGATAAATTTATGCGAAACCGATTTCGTCTGGAAAAAAATTAGATTAAATATCTGCCCGAAAGTGTAATCCGTTCGTTTATTTCAGGCTGTTACATCATTCTGTACAGTATTTTGTAACAAACGAACGAAATTGGAAACGCGATATAGAGGTTAATTCATTTTAAGGCTTGAGTAATACGAAAATATCTGCAATGTTTGATATAGTAAAAAGGAAACTTGGTGCAGTATTATTCAATCGTAGGCAGCGATTGCGATGCAGTTTTAAGGTTTCTATTTTCTTTTTATTGAGCCTTGTTCTTTAAATCAATTCACTCCTTCGGACGAGTAACGCGCTACTTTTGAATAACTCCGTCGGTGAATAAACACACGCTGCTAGGATTATAAATATTTGAGTATAATATAGTTGCGTAAAGTGGCGCGCGTAGTCCACGGCGAATAATGATAAACAAGAACAAGGGGACACGCAACGCGGCCGTTAATTACGTTTCAAGGATGCATCTCATTAAAGGCGCGAGATGATTGCGGCAAGAAGACATTTTCCAAAACACGCACCGCGCGCTTATCTCCCGTTTAACATCGCGTCGTCGTTAATAATTACGGCTTGCGTAATTAATTTATGTTTTGCACGTTCGCGGATGCGGTTGCTCGATTAAGAAAAAAAAGACAGAATAAAATGATGAGGCTTGTCTGTTTGCTGAAACCAGTTTGTGTTATGATTTGTAGTTTCCTCTTTTTGTCAGTAATATATTTAATCGAGTTCGATGTAAAATAATATGCAATCGAGCATGAAATAAAATCGAACTTCGAGGAAAAAAAGTGATACGCCTGGGATAATTAATTTAATGACTTTATTATAATCTATTAAAGAACTTACGTGGAAAACATAGTTTTTATTTATCACAGAATACATTATTAGTAATCGTGCCAATTTCATAAGATATTGGAGTAAGAAATACTTTTCATGAAGTCATTGTTAATGACTCAGCTCGTATATTGGAGAGCAAATAACGAGGAACAATTAGTGGTTTATGCGCTCTCAAAGTTGCTTACGCGTCATTATTCTGCTTCGCGCAGATTTGCATACGCAAATTCGATTGGCACTGATTGCGTAACACGTTTATTGTTTACGATGAAGAGGAAATGACGATGCTAGTTCTTAGTCGTTTCGATGTACATACCTACGTAATGTGTAGTATTCATACGCATTTTCGATGTAACTAACCTTGCCCCATGATACCGATTGTGCAACTATCGATATAGTTTCTCTCTTTCTCCTTCGCACGGATTTTTACATTTTCTTTGTACTAAATCCTAAGACTTTGTATACCTGGGTAAAATATTTACGTCAACTTTGGCTGAGAGTATATTTTGAAACTGATTAAGAGTAAATGAATAGTCGTTTTTATCAAGCACATTTGAAGGCCAAAAATGCGTCAGGCGATCTTCGAGCGACTGCTTATCACTGGTGTAAAAAATGAATATGGCTCTTCGATCATTTTTTTAAAATTTCGAGTTTCGAAATGAGTGTTGCGTAATGATTATCACGCTAATAATGCTAATTTTCAAATTGCCTTTCGAGTTCACGGTCGTGGTTTGACAATTTGAAGTAAACAAGTATAGATAGCGTTTGACAAAGTAATAATTACGCTAATGTAATGCAACGACGTAAATTCGTAGTTCTGACCTAGCTCAATATCGCCGCGAAGTTATCCGTCTTCCCACGTTTAATGACGAACTTACTTTTTTTAACTTGCCAGTGAACGAGTATCGATACCGAGGACGATTCGAACGTAATAAAAAAAGAAAGCAAACACGGTATACCATTACGTAAAAAAAAGTATCATGTAAATTCGCGTAACGTTTATAGATTCTACAATTAGAAGAGATACTAGAGTAGTTCAAATGGAAACTAGTATGTCATTGCGAAGTCGAAACGGAAGTGACAGCAACCGATCATTAGCGTTCATTGAGTCCGCGTCCCGCGGCGAGGTCTGAATTTTGTTATCAGGGCATCCTCTGACGTCCTAGTTGCGCAATTTGCCAGGATGCGTCAATAACGTAATGAAATCCTGACCTGTCCAAACGTTTTGCAAGCTAGCCGCGTTTAAACGTAATTACGGCCGTAAATTACCCGCCTTACTGTTTTCCACACGTCATTTCTGACTCATTGATATGAGAACGGTGTCATTTATTAAGTTTACTCGATCGTTTGGATCGATGAAAATTTACACCGCCTTTTTCGAATAAAAAAATACGATAATTCAAGGCTCTTAAACTCGGTTTTGGGTGACTCATAGGAGTTTTTAGTCACGCTATTGTTGTAGAATAGAATCATACATTTTCATCGCTTCTCCAGTAATTTAAAATGCTAATTCTTCAATCGGCTGCATTGTAAATTGGCCGCTGTCGATGTCTATTATAACGAGTTCATGCATTTTCTGATGAATGGTATGGAATAATTATAGCGAACCGACGTTTTGTTTCAGGGAACAGGCAAACAGGAAAACGGAGGAGTCACTTGGGTAAGTGAATTCAAATATTCAATCGTTTAGTTTTCTATTTACAGCATCGATCCGCGTGATTCTTAGTTACGGCAACAATTATTTTCGATTAAAATTCGTAATACCGCGCTCTTAAATTATAATTAGCCTCGATTCGAAGCATCGTCGCACAGACTTCGAACCCGAGAAAATCCTTGACACTACCCGCTATAACGTAGATCACCGACCACGTGACTTTATCGGTTATCAGTGAGTGAAATCAGTATTGCTCAATATTCACAAAGGAAGTGGTTACAAATACTCAAACAAAAATGTAGAAAAAGATATTTGAAGTTCAAACAGAAGTATAGATTTTAATATTTCTAATCAAGTTCTACATTTGTAATGCGAATTTCCACTGAGGAGTACCATAGTCGTTCTTTAACCCAGATTTATTTACCGAACGTGTCGGTAAATCCGATGCGAAGGAGTCCACGAACGAAAGACGAGGCACTCGAGGCAGACAGGGAAGAGCACAGTCACAGCCACGGCCCTGGAACGCTCCATTCGCTCATTAGCTCGCTTACGGGATAGATTACGTAACAAGCTTGAAATCTGACATAATACGCGAGTGTCAGCGAGTACGCGTCGCGAACTTTTACCGTCCTCCGATTCGAATGCGCTTGAGACACAGTAACGCGGCCTCGTGTCATTTTAAATGCATGCGAATCTAATACGAGATCTCTAAAAGTGATCAAATTTTTACTGGGTTTATCAGCTGCGATAAGATGCAGAAATTTAATTTAATTTTAAAAGTTGCTCCTTTTATTTATCTTCTGTCTTAAATAGTTATGAAAGGATTGAACAATCGATTAGTGGATCATTAATTTGTTTCTCTTTAATTACACAACGGAGAAGGGCATCGACAGGATTTTAGATATTCATCAGTTCTTAGAACGGTGCTCTCTTTCCCGGCGCGAAACGAAGGCAGCTCGCGGCCGGCACACTTACTTAATAACCTTAACACGTTACTTAATAACGCGAGCGAAAAAAATTACAGAAATTCGATCGAGCGGGATGATTCAGAGCGACGATTACGATCTAACGAAGGAAACGATTGCCGGTTTTCCAGTTGAGATTCAACTAAGCAGCGGGGTCAAGGTACAAACGTATGTACGCACATAAGTACAGGCAAGCTGCATTCGATCCGCCGATTTCTCAATCCGGCTCCCTTACCTTCTCCACCTCGGTTTCGCGCGCGATTCTTATGTAATAACATAACCGCTCGATTGCAGTAACTTACCTTGCCTCGTCGAGTATGAATATAATTTGTGTTGCGTGTACCGATAGGCGGATTATGCATTAGAGTCGGTCAGAGGAAAGAACGTGACACGAAGTCGATGATTAATCATCGCATTATGATTTTTAATATGTGACACAAACATCGTAATTGATTTAATCGCGCGTGTGTCACGTTTCTTCGTATGAGTCTGGAAAGAAGTTCTTATCCTCGCTCTGAATCTTTTTACACTCGAAGTCACGTTGGCGCTTAACATGCGTCAATTATAATGTTACATCCAGCGGGAGTTACGTGGCTCTCTCGGGACGGAAGCTAGAACGAAGGTGTAACTCGCTTATCGACTGACCTACGTGGCCTACGGTCGCACTATTCCGTGTATGCAGCGTTTCGCGTGGCGTACTGCTCCAGAAACCTACTTTTTCGTGCCACCGGTGGCAATGCCAGACCTCCGTTTTCTCGGCTCTCCTCTCTGTCTTCACTCAAGAGACGGCCAACGTGTGTTACGTCAAGGCGTTTTACCCTTCGCGAATCCGTTTTTGCATGCGAAATGCACGCGCCGCGATTTTATCTGCACTCTTCTATCTCGTTTTTGCCCGGGCCTTCAAGGACTTTTGCCGAACATTTTGAAAGATCGTGTCACGTAACCTACCTCGTTTTTTATCGTCAAAGAACTTTACCTCCTTTAACATTTGATTACACTTTATCCGAGTTCATTTCCGTTTTCCATTGAGCGGACTCAGAAATCGAAAGAAGAATCCTGTGAAGATGCGAAAAGTGTCCCGTTCAAAGAAGAAGGAATCCCGAACCGTGTCCGGTCTCTCAAAGAGTATAATTCCGGGAACTCTGGTTTTAATTTCTTTTCCTTGGTCGAAAGTCGACGCAGCAAGTAGGGCATCGCGGCGCTTTTGTCCGCTTCGCGTCTTTTCGACCCGCTATTTCTGGCCCCGACATGATACGCCGTGCCGTGTCGGCCTTTTTGTTTATTCCATTACTCGTTTTGTGACGACCCCGAGCGCAACCCTCGCGATTCCGTCCGGTTCCCACCCCAGGAACGCAATTTTAAACGCAACTAAATTAGACGCGTGAACATCCTTTAACCCTTTCCCCCCCGATTCTTTAGTAGGTTACTTGGTTTCCATCAACTATTTTCGACTACAGATCTATTTTATAGGAGGTAATTATTTTGCAATGATCGCTGATCACTGAAAGTCTGCTTAAAAAAGGAACGTGTTTTTGTCCAATTTGGAAACGCGAATGGGTTTCTTTAATTAAAGACTGGAAACCACTTGAATTATTCATGGGGCTAAGTAGTATTTTGTTCTTTCGCGTTAGATTGGACGGAGAATCTCGACGGAGCGTGTCGAGGAATCCATACATACGGTTTGATACATGCCTATTTATAGGAACGAAGATTCATTACGCGAGATCCCGTTTCACGCATACTACATATCGTCAACTCGTCTTAACGACGAATCTTGTGCAACAAGTCTTCTTATAAAATAACGTAATGTAATTATTTTCTCGCGACACTAATAAGGAAATTGTTTCAATTCCTCACCGAGATTTATTCACGGTTTGCCAAGTCACTTCTTCAAATTTCAGTCGCCATTATTCTTGAGTTTCTAGATTCGTCGAACAATTATTCAGTTTCACCGTATAAAAGGGATTAAATTAGCCAATTACGGCGAAACGGAATAAAAAAATTCCTAGGAAATAAGTTACGTAAAGAAGAGAGACGTAGGCGTTGGGCGGAGGACCCGGAATCGGCTCGGAACCGCTTCTCTCCGCTCCGTTCGGCCCGGCTCCGTTCTGGCTGACTCGCTCGTTACATAACAGTCCCGCGTCTCGTACACGTGCTCGTGACCACGTGGACACCGGTCACGTTACGTTGGCTGGCTGGCCGCGGGTATCTCTGAAAATGGAATTATTCTTACGTACGTAGGTCGCGTAACATCGTAACGACGACAAAACCTGTCCCGTCCTGGCCGTCCGTCGCCGGAGGCCACGAACACCGACGTGTGAACCATTCCGCTTTTGGATTTCGTCCCGTTTACGCGCTTTTTATTTAGCATCCCCCACGTGCCTCCAGTGAGATAAAAAAAATCCTCATCTTCGTTCATTTGAAAAATTCTAAATTTCGTCTGTCAGGAATTTTTTTATATAAGATTTACCGTCATTCGATAGTTCAAGCTTTATAATATGGATTAACAGCATAAAACAATATAGAACTGTAGCAAAGAGAAGATATATGACCTATTGCTTGATAAAAATTGTACTAAACACAATATCTAACTACCATTGAAAGTAGATTAAGTCTCGAGATGTCGAAACGGGATCAGACGAGGGAGAACGCTCCGGCGGCAACGAAGCGGAGCATGGAATGATATATCATACAGCGTAACTAAGATGATAATTATATGCTCGATGCATTGGCATTATCTAACCATAACTATACTCCCACCCAGATTCCCCCCGCGCGCACACAATGCGAACCGTGGACCTTTAACAGAGTTATCTGTTGCCCAACCGATCGTGAGCGAGCAAGCGTGTTTTGTAACAGCGCGGCGCAACAACCGACCGGATTGTCGTTAACGGTAAATTATAAGACAAGAAGTTATTCAGCCGTGCGCCCCATTCGAGATCTAGAATTAATTTACTTGTCCCCGATGCATCTCGACCGGCCCCCAACGACTTTTAGCTCACAGGCAAATCTCTTTGCCTTGCCAATAAAATTGCGGGATGTATGCACATGCATGGAAATAATGATTGCTATCGTGTACGAGTACCTGTTTAGAATTCAACGATTGTCTACTAATGTACGAGTTGAATTAACAACAATCGATATTAATGCTCGTTGGTTTTGTTACAAAACATGAAGAGAACGAAGCTGGGATCAGAATTTTACGACGCATTCTAATAAATATCTTTAATAAAATTGACAAAATTTATTCCATGAATCGATTCGTTGAATTCCTTTTCATAAGAATTACCGCAAATGTTGCGCAGATTTCATTAAATCCGCTAATTACCTGGTTCCGCAAATTGGTTACGTGCTCGTTTAATGAACTGATTACGCTTTTAATGAATTTAATGCGTACGTTATTAACAATCAACGGTGAAACAAATTCTAGCATTGAAAAGGGTTAGTTCGAGCTCGGTTATATACATATGTAAATCGACGCGAGGCTATTATATCACAAGTTCTAGTGGCAAGGTAGAGACAGGCCGTGAACCTAAGTCCACCGAGCACGTTGCACGATCGCACGTGACTCGTTTCGCGAGCGCAGCGTTATTCCGATACACGTTCTCCCTCCGAGCCTCTTTCCTTGTTTGTTCCAATCTCGACGCGCAATTATTATTCCCTGTTTCTTTCCTTTCGAGAAAACGAATTAAGAAGAGACTTCGACCAAACATATACAGCTTTTTATTCCAAACATTGAACCAAATTTAAATTGATAAAGTCTTTGAGCTTCGAATTCAATTAAGAAATTACTCCAACTTGTAATACTAATTTGTCATTTCTTGAGGATTAAATACCAAAGGGATTTGTTTTATTAAGAACAAGTATTTCATATTTTATAAAATTGATGAAGAGGTTTCCTTTATTACTTACATAATTTACATCACATATTTTATATATAACCATAGATCTACTACTGATGCATTTTATCACTTACAACTAAGTCTCTATTCGTACAATATCAAATATATAAAATAAAACAATACATTATTACCAGTATAAAATAAGTTAATAATTAAACGTCCAGCGTGGAAATAGTAAAAGTGATTAAATCCGCTAATTACCTGGTTCCGCAAATTGGTTACGTGCTCGTTTAATGAACTGATTACGCTTTTAATGAATTTAATGCGTACGTTATTAACAATCAACGGTGAAACAAATTCTAGCATTGAAAAGGGTTAGTTCGAGCTCGGTTATATACATATGTAAATCGACGCGAGGCTATTATATCACAAGTTCTAGTGGCAAGGTAGAGACAGGCCGTGAACCTAAGTCCACCGAGCACGTTGCACGATCGCACGTGACTCGTTTCGCGAGCGCAGCGTTATTCCGATACACGTTCTCCCTCCGAGCCTCTTTCCTTGTTTGTTCCAATCTCGACGCGCAATTATTATTCCCTGTTTCTTTCCTTTCGAGAAAACGAATTAAGAAGAGACTTCGACCAAACATATACAGCTTTTTATTCCAAACATTGAACCAAATTTAAATTGATAAAGTCTTTGAGCTTCGAATTCAATTAAGAAATTACTCCAACTTGTAATACTAATTTGTCATTTCTTGAGGATTAAATACCAAAGGGATTTGTTTTATTAAGAACAAGTATTTCATATTTTATAAAATTGATGAAGAGGTTTCCTTTATTACTTACATAATTTACATCACATATTTTATATATAACCATAGATCTACTACTGATGCATTTTATCACTTACAACTAAGTCTCTATTCGTACAATATCAAATATATAAAATAAAACAATACATTATTACCAGTATAAAATAAGTTAATAATTAAACGTCCAGCGTGGAAATAGTAAAAGTGAGATTTTTAATTTTATTTTATTTTACGAGTAACCGAAGCGATGAAATTCAGGGATGAGTTCAGGTTTTCAATTTGCGATAGGCTTTCGGTACCGAGCAACAACAGCCTCCATCGCTGCTGCTGTACGAGCCCGACGAGTCGCTGTCGGACGAGTCCGATGACGAAGACGATGACGTCCAACCTGGAACGGAGATCAATCTGGTCTCACAAATATTTGATTAACTCTATAAAAGTATTCAAAGAAAATGAGATTAATAGATTATAATTAAGAACATACTGCGTCGAGAGGTCCTTTTCTTCGACGGTTTGCTACAGCACGACGACGTCTTGGACGACTTGGGCTTGGCCGATTTCTTAGTCGAGCTAGTGGATTTAGTTTTCTGTTTCGATTTTCCTTTTCCTTTTCGCCTTCGTGGCGAAGGGCTGCCGCAGTCGCAGTCGTAACAATCGCAGCTTGAACACTCGCAACTGTCCTCCGAGTCACTGTCTGATGTGTAGTAAGGGCTGTCTGTGTCATCCGAGTAGTACCTGCTACTGGAGCAACAGGAGCCCGACTTCTTACCAGACCTCTTCTTGCTCGCTACTGCCTTTCTGGAACTACGTTCCAACGTTCGCATTATTATCGTAGAATGTAAACCAATGATACGAAATTATGGGATTTCACAATTTGATTTATGCGTAAAGTTGCAGAAATAAATGAGCAGTGAATGATTTAAGGGAAGCTAATTCCTAATCAGTATTCTAATAGAACATGATGTAACGACTAATCGGCTTAACATTTCATGCGGGCTATTTTCAAATCGTTCTGTTAATTATTGTTAGCTGCTGGCGTAAACAGGTTGCCTGCTTGTTGATAAGTTTTTTATGGTAAGACGTTGGATTGCTCAGTATTCGAAAATTTTCTCGAATCTTTATAAAAATTACTGTTGATACAAATGTCTCTTACCTCATTTTAACTATTAGTGAAATGTGATTCTCACTCGGTGATTCCTCTTCTTTATTAAACCGTTTTTTCTTCTTCCAAGTCTTTTCGCTTTATTAGTTCTGGATATATTATTTTTGATTAACAATTGTGTAACAAGAATTTCTTTCACGTTTCCTTTAAAATTAAGATAACTATCACCGATAAATTCAATGAGCTTAATTTTAAACTAACGGTCAGCGATGGAGACTGTTGTGTTGACAATTGTGTTTCTACGCGTTTCGGCACTCGTATGATCCTCGCTACCAATCTGCTCTAATACTTATATACACAATTTGTCACCTTTAGGAAATTTCTCGAACATTTTTTTATAAGTACTTCTAACGATCTAAGGAACAGCGGTACATTCAAATGTAATACATACATATATGAAATTCATACATCTTACATCAGATTTCTGAAGAACAATATTATGGAATATGAAGTTTTTATTTATAGCTCGAAGTTCGTCATTGTCGAGTGACACTAGATAATCACTCGACAAAATAATTAAAGATAGCGTTAGTTAGGGCAATATCGGTCGGACGGAAAACGTGCTCGTTATGCAAGTCGAGCCATTGACGCAATTCTGGTCAAATCGCAGTGGGAAATCTTGAATTACACGGTTCGTGTGTGACTGACTCGGTTTAACACTGTTATCACATTTGTTTCTTCATTCCCTGGCCTTGCACCGATCGTTTCACAGATCAAAAATTACAGTTATTAATAAGCAGTATCAGAGGAAATTACAATTACAGTTTTACACTTAGCAAGAATTCTGTATAATTTGCAAAGTAATTTTAACCACAGGAATAAAAAAGTAAACTTGAGGTTGAAGTAATTTGTAAATTAATACTGACTTATATAAATTTTCAATATGTATTTTCGTGGCAATTCTTTAACGAATGGGATACAAATTAAATTTCGTGACAGTGTTTGCTGGGGAACAGAAAGATGTCCTAATCTCTGCTAAACGCTTGAGCAAACAAGTGACAAAGCTCTGTAATCCTGCTAGGCAGTTGCCTAGAGAAATGGGAACTAGGAATGAGGTGTACTTTGCCTGGATAGCCGAGGGGTGACACGGCTTCTTCCAAGGGGTTTATGGGCGAGGGGACTGACGTGACTCAGCTACGAGGATGACGTAAGAACGCTAGAGGGTACTCAACTGGCGTAACTTTGAAAACATCTTCCTATTTCTGATATTCACGCATGCAGCCAGTTAGGATACCCTAAATTAGTTTTCCTATTCCTTAAAAGCGATTTATGCTCTGATTCCGGTGATATTTAGAGAAACAGACATTGTAAATTGTATTATTATTCTTTAACAATCTTTGCAAGAAGAATAAAGTATTGTCCCTACTAATCTAATTTGTATTTAAAATATTGAGCTCGCGCGGTTGACGATCCTGGGGATAGAGCTTAGTTAGAGATGAACGGGTAGGATTAGTCGGGGACAATGGATGTACAGTCGGCTCAGTCCTATTGTCGCATCGATCTTCAATCTGTCAAAACGGCGGATGTCGAAACGAGGCGCGAAACAAAAGCGATCGCGTATTCTGCGGATGACAGGCCGTGGCGGACACGCGTGCCATTATAATCGACATTCCGGAGCAGCATTCCGCAAAAGTGTCCGGGGGGACGAGTAGGGGACAATCGTTCTATGTAGAATCGTACTCCTCCAACCTGTCCTCTCGTATGCATAAGTATTCGGACATTTAACCCTTTCTTCGTTCGGGACGATTTATAACTGAGATCGTATTTATCAGCTGTTGAACTTTTGACTATATATTAAGGTTTATTATGTCATGTACTAAAAATCTTTGCCAAGGAGGAGTAAAAGAGTAAAATAAGTCATTTGATAAATTGAGATGCTTATGCTATGGTTATATATCAAAGGGTAAATGAAGCGTGTAGACCAATAAGACACCGTAAAACGGAGATTGCGGTCTCTATCAGTGTACAGCTTGAGATACATTCTTTTTCCAAAAAGAAGCGTGTAACTAGCATGAAACAAGTGGCATTCATCGGGTTCCATGGAAACGCAATTTCCCAAAACTATCGGCGGATTAACGAGATCGTTCTTCACGGGATTTTTCGCGACGAACCGAACCGAGTCGAATCCGCGGCTCCGGGAGATTCCTGGTGAACGGAGTCCTTTGAGAGGTCGCCGAGCATCAAAGGACTTTCTTATGCGTTATACGTGGAACTCGGTAATAGTAGAGTGGAGATGACGTTTACGAGGCGAGGCGAGTCGGCGCGACAAGAAAGTCCCAAGAAAGGGGCTATCTTTATCTCGAGACCCCCTTTTGCATCCGGTCGCGCTGCTCCTTCCATCAGAGTCATCCTCATTCCTTTCGTTCCGACCTCCTCCCTCGCGTTTCTTTTCGACCTTCGCCGATCACCCACGGAATCTATATTCTGCCTCTGTTTAAGTTCAATGCCGAGGAATTTCTTACATGCATAAAGTTCATAGATTTAAATTTTCATTAAAATAGCGACTGAAATAGTATAACAGAAATCGTATGAATTTTGCTAAAATTACAATTAGAATTTTATCACTTAGAATTTGGATGCAATATTTCATTGTCTTTAGGATTAAAACTTATTTTTTATTATTACATTATTTTGCTTCATACAAAGGAAGTATTTTTAGATACGAATTGTAATTCAAAGATTGTCTCATGATCAATTTCAGTTGATATTGATCGCGCCTACGCGATCGGTCCCGCGTTCCTTTCTCTTGGAACGAGTTCATTCTCGCTCCATCTATCGACTCGCACGAGACTCTTTTCGACGTTGTAAAGCTTTGCGATAATCGATGAAAGTTCATACGAATTAAACAATCTCTATGGGACACTATCTGTTTAAAAAAAAATTAACGTGCTTTCTGGAAAAAATTTTATTGACGTTACGTAAGGCTGTGATTTTATTGTGAGGAAGAACAGTAGTTATCTTACACTCTAAAGAAATATAGGTGAGTTTAAGATTATTATATTATATTATCAGGGAATAAAAAGAGTTTATTGAAACTGCAGAAAATGTATTAGAATCTCTTTACCAATTTTCATTATATTTCGGTATTGAACGATTGTTAAAATATAAGAAAATCAGAAACCATTTCTACTGTATTTCCTTTTTAATCGTTTATCGAACGCATTCGTTTGTATACGTCGCATACGTTCCACGCGACGACCCATTCACTTTCGCTTCTTTGGGGTGGTTGCACGATGCGTCGAGTTCGGAGAGGGTTGAAGAGTCGCGCAGCCGCGGTGACCGCTGTCCACTCGCACTGGATCGCGGGTTATTCCTCGCACCTTCACGATCCAGAGGACGAGACACCGGCGGTGTAAATCGAAGAAGAAGATCATTTAGTTCTGGCGGAGTTTCTAATACAAAAACAACGGCAGGCAAAATAAGAGGGACACGCGTTGCGAACGGGGAGCCTAGTGAGTATACTCGTCTATTCTAAAGTCGAATTAGTAAATATAATTTCGATACGCGAGAACGCGAGGTCAATGAACCAGGTTAAAAGTTAAAGAATAAATCTGACAAAAAATGGAAGTCTTGGCAATTGATAAGAATCTTCTTTTTCGAATCGAGAAGAAATTATAGTGACTCATAGATTAATTAATATTTTTCGTTTGCTTTAACAAACTCAACTACGACAATTTAATTATATTAACATCTGTTCTTTCTATTGAATCAAAAATGTTTGAGATTCGATTATATATTTCCTTATTATTTATGTTCTTCTACAAAATAGTATTGAATAAGTACCGTAAGTTTTCATTATACATCGATTTCCTGTTACAGTTTATTATAGTCAGTTCGTACAGTCGTTCTATTGTTTGAAAATATTCGCCAACAAAGTTCAGTAAGCAAGCAGATACTTATAGAGATTAGAGACTCCGTTGGATTATTAACGACGCGCGGCATGGCGATCTTTTGCGAGAATCGGAATTTCCTAATCGATAACTTCTAGTAACCTCATGCTTCCATTAAAGATTCAGAGGGAACTTACCATCTCTTGGAAATCTAATTTCAATCCGACATTATTATTCTGTCCTAGACACTTTTACAGTAACTAACGAATAAGTTTGCTGAGAATATTCAATTCTCGACAGAAACACATTTTACCATCAATCCCTACCACTACGTTTCGGTCAACCTAATTTTAAGAAAGTGCGTGCGACTCGGAATCAGATTATCATCGCGGTAAGCAAGTCGCAAAGGAATCGATAAAGTTTATTACGTTTAACCCCCTCGCCTTCGCGTAACTTCGGCTCTCAGAACACCTTAGAATAGCATTCGCAACAAGTCTCCTAGTTTGCTAGGTTGACATTGCCATCTGGACAGATGGAAGGAGCGTGTATTATTTAATAGAGCGGGTGCCGGCGAATCAATGGCGTTCTATGGATCGCACTGGAGGGTAGTTTTCGCAGTGGTGGACGTTATATTCTCGCGATGGCCACGCAACCGGTAGCTCGTAGCCATTAGTCTGGAACTGTACCGCGAGTTCAAATCGTCGTGCGATGCTCGCGCGATTTAGAAACATTTTCAAGTGTTTCGTACCGAGGTGTGGAGATTTCAAATTTCCAGGGATGGAGAAACCCGAGTCCTCCATAGGGGACGAGAGCAACGCCGAGTTGGAAGATAGAGATCCAAATGATCTAAACAAGCATCTTCAGGTACGCTAGTTCAGTAGTGATTAGAAATTTCGTTCCATTTTTTTTTAAGAATCTTACTTAGTAAGATTAGCGTTGCGATCGGATCCATCGATGTTTTTGATGCAAAGATTTAGAAAAATATTTATTGGTATTATTTGAGCTTAAGGATCTTAAAAAAGGGAACGGTTTAATGGGCCTCGGGTTGCTTTTAATTGATTAATAAGCTTCTCGCAGAGATATTCATTTAGATTATTTAAGCACGCGAACTAGACCACCAAGAAATATACATGACCCTGACATTTGAAGAAAAGTACTATTTATGTACTCAGTTTAGAAAATTATACTTTTCGAATGCTAACTATCTCAAGTACGTTGTCGCTCGTTTTGACTATCAGATTATGTCGTCATCGATGTAAAGTTTCCAAGAAACTATGGTACTCGATATAAGTCAAGGTACCGAAGTTATCGCTACGGTAAAATTGAACTTTGTTTGAAAAGTGGGTAATCTAGGAATTAATGGAAACGTAGGTAATGTGGGACGATGTGATCGGAGAACCGGAAGGGATACGTAGCCCGGAGTGCGCTTGGCGTTTGAGCGGCCACTGCTTCCGGTTGTCCAGGGGTTGTTGCTACATATTCCTGTCCGTCCTCGTCGCGCCCCTGCTAGCTCTCTGCTTTGGCTTCACGTTCGCCTGCCTCGCGTTTCAGGTGAGTCGACGACCTTTTTCTTTCTCGATTTTAATGGTCGATCGATGCCGCCCACCTCTCCACTTATACAATCCATCGCAGTTATGTATTACCTCCGAAAATTCGATCTCTAATTCTTATTCCGATTTCTGTTTAGGATTATCGATTGTGTTTGATTTTCGGATTGATTTCTTTTCGATTTCTGTAATATTTCCTCCTTTTTCATTTTTGTTCGATTCCTATCTGGTTGCTATTCGACTGTGGATTGAGCAGGATCGATATTTTTAGCATATATGGTGTCTGGCTCCGTGTCTCCGCGTCTGGAAAATCACCTGCGCGGCGACCAGGAGTTTTCTCTCAGCGGTCACGCAGGCGATCGTGCGACCCGTTATGGATTCCCTTGGCTATCTGTTTCACAACATCCGAGTGTACAATCAAAAGCTACCGGATGGTCCGGCTCAAAAAGACGATATTCTTGTGGTTTAAATTGTGAAACATAATACAAATTCAAGTGATTCTTATATCATATCTGAAAACGAGCCGATGATAAACTTTGACGAGTCAAATAATTTTAGAAACTCTCGAAAGTTGATAAAATTAAGGAGTGTAATGCAAAATTTGTAAATCACGTTATTTCCTCTGCTTCGTTTTCCAGCGTGCAACAATCGTTCCTTCGACCTAGTAGCAAAAACTATGTTATTTGTTGATCATCGATCATTAACAGAAATGTACGTCCATATATTTATTGTTATAAAACTTTGTAAATAAAATTATCTCTCACGAAACGCTTTTGTCGAAGACAGTTCAGGAATTTCGTACTTAAAATATGTATAACTCGCGCAATTATTGTTAATGCTACATCCTCGATGTTGCGTAGTCGTAATAATGACAGTAGGATTTGATTTTCCCGCCAATTTCTGACCGACCTTGAAGATTATCGCTGACAGCAATAACATTGTCACAAACAAATGTCGAATCGATAATTGAAAGCCATGAACGAAAAACAGAGACAGAATCGCGATCCTTGATTAGCGTTTGGGAGTGGGGTCAGGGGAGCAAATAAGATAAGACGCATCTCGTTAACACCAGCTGACTTGCGGGAGTCAGTTTTACGTTGACTACAGTCATGGCAGTCACGCTGACGATTTTATCGAGATGCGGTCGACAGACTTGCAGAATATTATCGAGACGTATCCTTTCTTATTCGTACAGTATTCATTAATTCCTGAAAGAGACATACAAATATAATCTTGCACTCCTCTCTAATAGAAGTGTTTTGCAATGGAAGAGCTAAGGTGCAAATATTGTTTTTCCTTAATGCATAATTTGAATTATCAGAAATTTCGGTCTCGTCTTCGCTCAGAGGGAAATGTAAGTCTACCTTTTTTGATAAACAATCTCGACTTTGTTTTTGTGAAAACAAGTTGCCTTCGCCAACTGATATTACTGATAGCATTTGCGTATGCCACCAGATAGTAGCACACGCACTGTTTGCCAAAGTGGGGAAAGATCACATGATTTACATTTTACATGCAATGAATACGAAAACGTTTAACTTGAAACGTCACTTAATTATACAGAAAACAAACATTTCTAACACGCATATAAAATATCTTTTACTATTTAGATAATACATGTAGTCTACAAATTTATTTAAATACGATTTACTCTGTGCTTCCGATACCTTTCAGTATTTAAGGATGTATTGGCTATACAGTCAATCCCAAAAGTTTATGTACCTTAGAAAAACGCATTTCCTATAATTAAAAAGAAATCAGACGTCGGAAGAATAATGCTAATAATAAATAGCTACGTGCTAAAAAGTATAGAAGGAAATATCCAATTAAGTATTGACGCTGACGAAAATATTTTTTTTCAAAATTGCGAAAAATGCTTTAAATAAAAGTTGTTTTCCTTCTAACTTCGATATTTAACGAGTTACGTATGATTATTTGGCATTTTATTGATGTTGACAAAATCCGACCATCCCAGCGTCGAAACGGCGAACTTTTGGCAAAAAATTTCATTTTTCCTTAATTACTCCTAAACCGTTGAATCTACGGGAAAATTGTATAGGACCTTTCTTGTAGAGGACGACGAGATCTACAATTTCTGTATAAAAGTTTTTCGCTAGCATTAATATTTAACGAGTTATTGACGAAAAACGAAAAAACAGTTTTTTGCAAATTACTCGTTAACTATTGACGCTAGCGAAAAA